AGAGAGAGAGAGAGAGAGAGAGAGAGAGAGAGAGAGAGAGAAGGTTGACAACAAATTAATTAGATTAAAAGCAGAGTTTGTTCTATTCTTATTTTTTTTCCTTTTTCCAGAACTAAGATGTCCAATAACTAAGACAACCACAAATGATGACAATTAATTGTCCAAAAATAAGTATAGATCTGGGTAAACATTTTATGAAGACATTCTTAATATCTTTCAACCATCTATCCATCTCAAAATTTCTCTCTGGCTGATTAGTTCCTACCCTGTCATTTTTCTTTCCATTTTAATTGTTAGAGATTTATAATTCCTTATGAACTGTAATGACCAACATGCGAGGAAAATAAAACCCACCACAGATGGGATAGGGAGTGCTGCTTTTGTAATTAGCAATGCCCTTCCAGGAAACTTTAAATGAGTGCATGAAGATTGACCAGGCTGGCCAGCAGGAAAACAAAACAATGACACTTATAATTAAAGAAATCAAAAAACCTGAATTGTATCCATGGAAATACTTTTCAATGTCAAGAGATTTTAAAAGAATGGATATGTTTATAAGCAGGCAAAATTCCCAGATTTTCTTTTTTCTTGACTCCATGATCAGTTTAGAAGATTATTGTGAACAGCTCACATTACCTTACAAAACATAAAGAAGAAATATGATTTATCTCAATAGGTCTGAACATCTCTTACAGATTTTGGTAATAGGAACACCAAGGAGCCCAAGATAACAGAGGCCTGAGCAGAGAGCAGTCATTACCGACCTCGTTCAGTTTTACATCTGTTTACTTCATCGTTTAGGAATAAAAGCACAGTGCACTATTCACCTCTATGAATATGTCTTTTACTAAGTGAGGCAAAGTTAAACTGAAACATCTATAATAAAATATAATGAATTAATTTTATACATGCTTATCTGATCAACATTACAACAAGTAAATCTGCATTTATGTATAAACTAGCTGTCTCCAAACATGCAAAGCAAAATGCCAAAATTTATACCTCTATGTAAACTCGGTCATTGTAGGACCTAAATTTACTGAACAATGGAGCTGCTTAATGAGGTTGGATCCTGATATTTAAAGTCTTAAACTTTTTTTGTCAAGTATATTTTTAGTTTCCACACACATAGCTTAATTAAAAATCAAAACAAAAAATGGGGGTCAATATGCTTCTTTTGGCGCTACAATACATTTAATATGACCTTTCTGCACTGAAATTTGTGTCTTAATCAAAAATCACATCATCGACGTTTTCCCTCCAATGTTTTTATCCAAATAAATCATGGGACAAAATGAACTATTATCCTGTTTAAAAAAAAGACACTTTAAAATTGTGACTAAGAAAAAGTTTCAAACTGCTTCGAATAATCAATTATTTGACCTTTCTGCACTTAAAAATGTGATTTTTCTGGCATTAAAAATTCAACAAGCAAGAAAATTATTTTAAAGTTTTAAACTTTTGCTGAATTTAGGAAGATTGGTCAAAGTTATCTTATATATTCAGAAAAGAAAAACAAAAGTGGGGGTCTATGATGTAAATTTTTAGACATCACTAGAAAAGTGTTCATTTTATGTTAAAATTGGCTAGTTTTTTTCCTGGACTTTCAGAATATATTTACTATATTTGTCACAATATAATAAAAGAATTCATAAGATATAATTTAATAGATATTTCAGAACCAGCATAAAATATTTCACTGCTAAAAACAGCTCTGTGTGCAACCAGCATGGAAAAATGGGAATCTAAACTTGACAGTACTGTTTATATTTCCAAAGGGAAAAATTGATCATTTTCTCCTAAAAAACCCTCTGCCACAAAATATAGTTCCAGGCTTAATCCTATTTGAATGGAATTTAATCGCGTTTTTTTCATTGGATATAGTTTAATTTGCATTGTAGAATCCAGATTTAATGTTTGAACTTGAAAATGTTGCAGAATTTTATAATTAAAGGTCCACACCAAAATGTGCTCAAAAGCTCAGGATCGAATCTCCTTAACAAACTTCATCTTCACTAGCCCTGTCTCTAAAGGGGGGATAGAGTAAGTAAATGGGACATTTGGCTTTAAACAGATGCAAAAGCAAAAGCTTAGACACTCATATGGGTAACATACTAGACACTGCAAAAAAACAAGCAGAAAAAAAAAAACACATGATGGTTGGACAGTGTTGGTCATTTACTTTGGAATGGACAACTCTTTAACACTGACCATATAGGTAACCCTGTAGTGAACAAGAGATGTTTGTGAAACACTAATGCCCCCCCCCCCCCCCCCCTCGCCATAATTGGAATTTTTCTAAGTCCAAGGGGCATAACTCTGTCAAAAATTACCCAAAACAGAACTTGATCTACATATTCTTCTGATAAATCTGTATACCAAATTTCATTACAGTATGTGCAACCTTTGCAAAGAAAATGAACGGAAACTCATGCAAATAATTGGACTTTTTCAAAGTCCAAGGGGCATAACTCTGTCAAAAAATGCTCAATCGTACCCAAAACAGAACTTGACCTAGATATCCCTATGATAAATCTGTATACCAAATTTCGTTTCAGTATGTGCAACCTCTGCAAAGAAAATGAACAGAAACTGCAAATAATTGGAATTTTTCTAAGTCCAAGGGGCATAACTCTGACAAAAATTGCTCGATCGTACCTAAAACAGAACCTGCCTTAGATATTTTTATGATAATCTGTATACTAGATTTCATTTCAGTATGTGCAACCTCTGCAAAGAAAATGAACGGAAACTGTTGGTGGACCGACAGACTGCAGCAAAGCAATATGCCCTCCTTCTTTGAAAGGGGGGGGGGGGGGGGGGAAGTATAAAAAGATGAATTACATACAACTTTATGTAGAAGTCTTCACAAATTTCCAAATTATCAAACAGTAATGTAACAAAGTTTACGACTTTTCTTCCCTCAAATATTATTCCAAGTGTCCTTATGATAGATACTTTGATTTTATTTAGATGTTTATAATATAACTATGGCTCATCCTAATGAAGATTTGTGAATTGATTGAGGCACAGTTTCTCTGACTAGAGAGGCAAGACTTTGACACTTTGCAGGCAGGTACAACTCTCAATAAACAATTTCTTTCTAATGTCATGTCCTTCTTGACATGATTAATAGAATCAGCTGTTATTTAGATATCACATACTTCAAACAGTTTTCCAAAGGCAGGGTGTGGCTGACAAAGAAGCCTGCTCCCTTCTATCAATTTCATCTCCGTATCATGCCTTAAGTACAAAACCGTTCTACAACAGACCTGTACCAATTAAAATGCTTAACTTTCTCAATTAAAGCAGAAACAAGTTTATCAGTTTCCTTTTTGATATGGAAGTATTAAAGTTTTTGTGATCAAATTCTTTAGTGTGTCATTTGGTACCAGCTCCTATCCATCACTAGGATCTTCTTGTCCTGGGTCCCCTCTTTCTGATGTTATGGTATATATCAACAGAAGTTTATGTTGTGTTACTTAACACCTATCATGTGGGTGCAGTAAAGATCACATCTGTGCATTGAGGGATTATATTTACTTTAAAACATGCTATCATGCCCATCGCTTCAATGGAATTCAGAAAAACAAACTCAAGCATTTTATTTTAGATAAATGCAACATACTGTTCAAAAAACAAAAATTTTCCTGATCCAAGATAAAGAATAAAAAAACATTGCTACATATTTATAGTTTTTTTTATGTCAAGAAAGATAACTCTTTTAATCAATACAGACTGCACAAACTGGTCCTTTAAACCTTTGGACTCAGCATCTGACGTTCAATATTTTTTCCTGAAGTCATAACCAAGTAAGATGAAGACTATGGGAGACATATGTGTAGCATTTAACTCTGGAAAAAACATTCAGAACATTTGTAGTAACCATGGAAATACCATCAGGGGCTGACAAATAGATTTTTCAAGTACTTGACCATGGGGAAGTACATGGTCAAAATTCACTTGCCCTACCTGAATTTTTACTCCCCCCCCCCCCCCCCCTTAAACTATAAAAAGTAGGAAACAAAAAAATGATTATATTATTACAAGTGCCCATTTCCACTTAAAACTAAGACTTGTTCTTTTTTTCTTGAAAAAGTCACTTGCCCAAGGGCAAGTGGTTAAGAAAAATTCACTTGCCCTTCCCCAAAATTCACTAGTCCCGGGTGTTGGGCAATGGCATTTGTCAGCCCCTGACCATGTGTTTAAATTAAAAACTGATTCATGAACATACAGGGAAATTTTTGCCCCCATTTCATTTTTGCTCCTTTCACCCTCGTTGTCACTGTGTGAATTGAAAATGAGATAAATTCACCAGAGACAATTAATATCTCTATTTTTTTATCATTTACTCCTTAATTTATACAGTGGATATCAGTCAAATGATATCATTTTCATATCCACAGTTGTGATGTCTCAATGGCTTTTGCATTAAAGTGATGAAGTCAAATAAAGTGGATTCATATATAAAAACAGTGTAGAAGTTAAAAATCATGTAAAAGCTATGTTTAAAAGATGTGATAAAAAGAATCTCTCATGGTTTGTCGTTGGATATGATTTTTATCCAACTCTTTTGTGTTTTCTATACCCTGGTTGCCAATGCATGGGGATAGAAAACACACAACTAGTTGGATAAAAATCATATCCAACCACAAACCATGGGAAATCCATATATTAACACAACCAAGTCAGAGCAAATTTAAAATTGGCATGAATTCATTTGCAATCATTTGTGTGATGAGGCAAAAATGACCTGAGGGTAGGGGGGTGTATACAGTATGCATCTTGTTGTTGTCTACAACTGTCCACTGTTTGCTAATTTTTGAAATTTGATGTACAGAATGTTCACTACAAGTGTGAAGGGAAAGAAAAGTGGGTAGACAGACAACTTAAGGATGTGCACCCTACATCTTCATCAGACAACTTAAGGATGTGCACCCTACATCTTCATCATTCTGATCTATGACCAGTTCAGCTAAAATGAATTAAAGCATACAGACCCTGGGGAAGCCTGGTAGGCTCCGTGACTAAAATCCCATCCACAGCACACATCTTGGCGAGGGGATACAGTGTGATTACTCCGTGGATGTTGTCAATATAGCAGTGTTCCGGCTCTACCCCAGTTCCCTTTATGATAATGTCTGGCTCACTGGGTGAATCATAAGTCCCAATATCTGTCCTCCCTATACAAACACATAGTCAGTCTGTTAGTAGTCTTGTATCTCATATATGGCATAAAAGTCTCATATCTGATATACATTATAAAAGACAGGTGCCTCATTTGTGTTTATAAAATACAGGTTCCTTAGGGGAATGAAATCTGCACATTTTAAAATTATTTCTTTTAACAGACTTAGGCATACTACACACAGCCCTGAATCTTGGAAAAGAAAATGTACTTTAAGTTCATCCTAAAACTTTATTATGATGCATGATTGGGATCATAAATTATTTGAATACATGAATTATAATGGAATGACTTCAGTATGTAATATAAAATTCTGCAATGTGAATCTTGTGAGTGAATACTGTAAATCACTTTTTATTTGTGAGAACTTTATTTTCGTGTAAATATGTGAGACCATCTGCTCATGAAAATTTTATTCTCACACATATTTGTATTATCAAAGATGTATAACAATTTATAAGTTGTGTGAAAATTTTGTCTTGATTACAAATACCGAATACATTAACTCTCTCACTAAAATAAGGTGTTCCAAAAATTTGGTGATCTCCTGTATGTTTAACATTCCATATGATACTAATATTCCCTATTCAGTATGATTTTGAGACAGTAGAATACCCTCTTGTAGTGGCAGTATGGTGACCGCAGTGGAGAGTCGTCCACTCCCCAGACTGACCAGATGTGGCTTGTCCGTGTGGACCTTGACCGCATTGTCTGTATCTGTCACTTCATATTCCTCCTGATGAAATAAAACACCATAAATTAATTTTCTAATTAGTAAGAAGTATAAATACATACTTTTAGTGAAACATTCAAAGAGAGATAACTCTATTTGAAAAAAGTTTCCTTCATCACAGCCAGCTCGTAATGGAGAATTACTGAATTATAAGGTCCCTTTATTGATCAATATGAAATAGCAAAGTAGAAATGGTTACCATTGAATCTCACAAGAACCTACAGTAATTTAGATGGGACACTATGTAAGGATAAGGCTAACACTTGGACACTCAATATATGAATACCTATCACAATATTTCAGTGCTAGAACAGCCAGATATTGCACATATTTTGGATGTGTCACAGTCAGTGGTGAGTGGGGGCAGAAAACAGGTAGCTGTACAAAAACTAAGTGACTCAGAGTATCGCAGACACGATCTGCCCCTACATAATCAGCCTACATGAGGGAATCTGTCATTGACTTCTTCCACTCTGTGTTTCTGATCTCATTGATAAAGCTCTAACAAGGACAAACCTCCCCTACCAAGGAAAACCTGCTCTAATGGAATTCAATTTACCCACATACAGAAAATTGTTTCATCTCTATAGGACATCAAAGTGTTAAATAAGATTGCTAATTAATTTTTTTTCCTTTAAATTCTCCTTTTATTTTCTCCATGAGAAAATGTTTGAGGAAAGAGGTTATCTTTATTTTGTGAATAAATGATTGGGCAGGTAAAATAATGTTATCAGAGTGTCAAAAGCTGAGTGTCCATAATGTCTTAACCAATCAGAAGCTGTGGTATTTGTACAGAAAGAGCTTTGTGCATAAAATGGCCCTGCAGATATCCCAATTTATTGACTAAAAGCCCATGTCCCATTTTCAACATCAATATAAAGTAGAGACTTAGTGCTTTCAGTTATATAACAAAGTTTCCTTTAAAGAGTTCAGGTATTGGAAAACAGGTTGTGTGAAATTGCAATTTTCTTAAATTTTGCAGAAAATGGGTTTATTTTAGAACCTTTAGCAAAGAATTAAAATATGAGCACACCCCTTGATCCAAAAATTTATATGTGTTTTATACTTTTAATTAACAATTCTTTCATTATATATTTGCACATTTTGGATCAGAGGTTGTGCTGTATATGAAATATTGAAAAAAAAAGCACCATCATTTGGCCATTTTTGAGAAAATATTCATGATATTACAATAATGATGCAATTCTTGACATCATAATGCATTGACTAGCAAGAAAATTACTTCATTTTCAGTAGATATCCAGGCACCAAGGTTTTACGTAAATTATTTCCTTGTCAACTAAAACTTTGCATTTTGATTTTTCAGAAATTCACAGGGCCAAAAAGGCCCTAATTAAGTGCCCCAAGCTCTTTTTAATACATGATACTGATAAAGTTATATCTACTTCATGTTTTTTGTATACTTGCAAAATATTTATACCAAGTTTAGTGATTTACATGCTGTTACTTTAAAAAGAGGTCAAATGAGAGGCCCAAGAGCTGAAATGCTCACCTGAGTCATCTAACCTTTCTGACTAGTAATTAATATGTAGATTATAGTAGCCATCATCTTATGATAATTCAACCTCCATCTCTGTATTAAATTTTAATTTATTATATAAGGCTTTATGTCAAGCTTAAAAATTGTATCCTTCCTGCAGAAGTAAACAATTTCTGCCCCCTATTGTTGTCCTCCTTGTCCACTTCAAAAACTTGTTGTGGCCACCATTGCCTTTGGGGCCATGATTTGAACTACTTGAATCAATACAATTCTACATGAGGATGATTCAATATTAAATATGACTAATTGAAGTCAATCTATTCTTTATTGGAAGATTCAAAAGTTTTTTTTTTCTATACATATCCCTCAGTCAAAATTTAACCCCCTAATGTGGCCCCACTATAGCCCTAGGGACTATGATTTGAACAAACCACACTATATAATGTAGCTTCACATACATTTTGTCTTTTCTGGCAAAGCGTTCTTGAGAAGACTCTTATATGAACTCATCTTATTTTCACTATTCATTGATAATCTCCCCTTTGAAAGGAACAAGCTTAAGGCCCTTTATTTGGATCTTCTTCACCAAATTAAGGCCATACTTTTTAAGTTGGGTTAAAATTAGCCTCATGTTTTTGGAAACAAAGTCAATAATATTATAATGTAACAGACTATAGAAAGTGCTTGACAGATTGGACAAACTTTGATCTGAAAAAAGGTGCAGGTGATGTCAATACAGAAGGAGAAAATTTTTATCATAAATATTTATTTCTTTGAGTAACCTCTCCTTTCTTTTATGAATACTCATTGAAAAATCAACTCAATATCCCCAATTATGAGGTCAATCCAATAAAAGCAATTAACCACTTATATTCTAAAAATTTAAGAAGGGTGGGGCATCTGCAAAATTCTAGTCACAATGAAAGAATCAAAGTTGATCCTTGAGTCTTGTGAAACTCTATTCTTTACTCATAAAAGGGTTCAAAAGTTTAAGGAACCTCCTTTGTAACTGGAGTCAATAAGAAAACTTTTTTAACTTCAAATAACTCCTGCACAAGATCTTGATGATCAAACATGGCTTAAAACATACATCAGATATAACCAGCCAGTAACCAAATCATGCCACGCTCACCTTTTTCTCAAGAGAACTTCTTAAATTCCTCACAATCAATAGAAACGCTGCAATTATCCAAATTTGTCAAGGGATTGAAATCAAATTTATAAGAATGGGTGGTCTCCCAGGAACCAAGGAATACTGAGTTAACAGAATTTAAGGAGTCATTAGATGTGATGTTAATTCTGGTATTGTCTTAGGGTTTAGACTTATAAGCCAGCTGGCCTGTCTTAATCTGTGTGTCAACTCAAAACACCCTAACCGGTTTTATCTCTGTGTGCTAAAATAAATTAATGTTTCCCCTAAAATGGTTGTTCAGAACTAGAAGTCTCTGATCAGATTGTAGCTTGACTGATTCATGTATAAGTTGATCCCACCTCTGGAATTTCCAGAGGTCTGTGTTTCATGCCATTTACAGATTTGTATTACATACTATATGTGTACATAAATTAAAGCATTCAAAATTTCCACATAAAATCAACACCATATATATAAACCAAAGTGCTGCATCAGTACATGCTAACAATTTCACTGCTCAATGGCAATAAGTGCAGGTACCCTGGTACTTAAATCTAAATTTTCAACCTTCAATCAGCAAAAACACAAGTCAAAATTCTTGAAGGGACATATAGCAAACAAACACGAAACCATGACAATGTTATATTTTTACACTTGTAACCTTGACCTTGTGACAGGGTCATGACATATCCCCTGACCATAACCTTGACCTTGTACTAATATGAAGTCTCCCATATTGTTTACTTCAAAGGCTACAACCAAAATTTTGAATTTCTGTTGGATAGATAGACAGATCAAAAACAATATATGCATATTGCGATTAAAATTTTTAAATTGAGCCAAAATCTACTCCTCATAAAAGGAAATCTGGCCCTTTCTAACACAAAATCAAATGTTTAAATTATAAGTATTCAATATCACAGAAAGATTAAAATGTCAAAATTGACAATATTTACCTGATCCAGTAGTGGGTGAAGTTTCCTTCTGTCCAGATTTCTGTAGGGACCATCTCCAAATAAATCCATTTTGATTCAATCTTTCTCATACCAAGTTAATGGTGGGGTTTATCGCTGTATATTCACACTGGTCATCTTGTTAGTCTCACTCAGCAAACCTCCATCTTGGCCACTCACAATTCACTGACCCTGGTAAATGAGGAATTTTGTCAGTTATGTATTGATCATAACTAATGCACTAGATTAAAGACACTATCAAAATCAGGGGGAAAAAATATTTCATGTCTGAAGCTATAGTCTGGTGGCTCTAGATACCAGGTCCTGATTGTTGTCAATTCAATTACCAAGCTTAACTTGAGAGGCATATTGGAGGTCTATAATACTCAACACAAAAACAAACCAGTATTTATGTACCATCTCAATGAGTTATTATTTTTGAGAACATAAAGCAGTAATTAACTAATAGTAACAAAGTAGGAACAATGTCTAGTACTCTAGGAGACAGCATAAAATCGTATTAGACTCTAGGCAGATTCTTTTAAAAGGCTATCATTTCCTTAATTATGTGCATTTCTGCTCATCTATCACTGCAACCCTGACCTGTTATCAACATGACATGCTTTTAGATGGTTCCAACTCAATTTAAATACTTTCACTCGATAAACCCCACCAAAACTTAATCAGACTTTGCATAATTTAGCACGAAAAATTCTTTTACAACTTTGACAATGCACAACATGCATCAATCCATACATGGATCCATTTTAGCTCTTTTACTCCTTTACAAATTCAGTTTTTGAATAACAATCAATATTTTGTAATCTTACCTGGTCTTTCTGCTCATACAAAGCACACAACAAACCAATCAATAAATTCCTCACACACTTAATTACAATTATCAGATTAATCCAATACACATTAAAAATAATTATTGTTACCACTTCCAGCACGGCAGACTCACTCTCTAAACCTGACACCTAACGCACTGTGGCACTGTGGCTCGTCTGAAATCACTTCACCACTGGGCTCCTAAAGACATGATCAGATAAGGCTCTATAATGGCATCTTGATTGTCTTTATCTTCAAACAAATACCTCCTGGTTACTTCTCATTACGATTTGTGTATTGGATGTGATTTATGGGAGGATCAAGTGCCCCCTGCAGGTGCCCCTTATAATTAGAGGATAATTGACAAGACAGGGGGCAAAACAAACATCTTCCTGACACTGATACCTTGGAGTAGTTTGGTTGATTTTATCAGTAGCTGACCCACAGCAGACAAACACACACATGACCTCATCTGAACTCCTGCATGAAATTGATACTCGCTATACTGCCAATTGCCCACAAAATTGCGCTATAACATCTAATTATGTCAATTTGCAACTTTTATTTCACATGTGGATTAAATTTTTGCAAACTTGAACACTTTACATGTTTTTTTTTTTTGGTCAAAAAGAAAATGTATTTCAAGATCAGTTTAAAATCAAAAGATTTAAACTTTTATTTTATTAACTTGCAATCTAAATTTCTACCGACTATTTTCAGTGCTTGATACGAGTACTGTGAAAGAAAAATGAACTAGCTATCAAAACACAAACTTTAAGGAATCGATGTACAATTGTTTTATCGTTTTCTTATTTTATCATTCAGCTGTTTTGTCGTCATTCTAAATTAATAATAATTAAATGTTTACTTGAGAATTTATGTTATGTCTTCATACAGGCCCTTGAAATTAATTTATCTTACAACAGAATCTACACTATTTTGATGCCTGTAAACGTGTGGCAGTGGCAGTTTGATTTTTTCCTTTTTATTTTTTATATGCTTGTTCACTTGAAACCATCTCTTAAATGTCATAATAAAAAGGAAAAACGCCCAGTTTTTTAGGGGGAAAAAATTCCTCCTTGAAAAATGCAGAAAAGCTTTCCATTTCAACATCAGCAGTTATAATATCCACTATAACTGTGAAATAACTTACTAGATATATAGCATGGCAGGAAATAAACCAAGCCTTTACATCAAATACATGTAACGGTGACTTAAACCAGCTCCCTCAATTTCATTGTGCATCCATGCAGTTAAAAATTCATTTCCTTCCTACATTCCTAAACAAATGTAAATCATTTTTAGGATTATTAGCAATTTTTCCCCCATATTAACTAGAAAGAACTAGGAAAATTACAATTTTTTCCCAATGAAATTCAGAATTTTTCCTTAATTATAGCTTTTAAAATAGACCACCCTCCCTGATTTTGAGGAAACATCTGTCAAATCTATGGTACAGAGACACTAAAAACCTACCTCTCTAGGATTTCCTTCATTTAAGTTTTTATACAGAACTCCTTATGACCTGATAACACAATATCTTGCAATGTACACTCTATCAATCACCCACAATTAAACATATCAAAAGTTAAACAACTTCCTTCACAGTGCATTGATGCATGGTTCTGTAGAATACAAGAATCCATCCTATCAACTGCAGGCTATCTCCAGCTTTCAACAGAAATATTTGAAACCAAAATGTTCTTAAAATAAATGCAACCAATTGTTAGCAAAGCATCTGTTATGATAAGTATGTGATCCAATATCGTTTGGTGCTTTGAAAATGAATTCTACAAATAACGGTACATTTTGTAATTAAAACTGCAGATTATCTTGCAACAAGGAGAATTACGATCTAGCAGAGTTATTTCATTTGGTAATGGAGTATAATTTTCCACACATCTGCTCCAGGGGTTTGCCCAGATGCGCTTAATTTAAGAAATGTGCATCTTAAAGTTTGAATTCAATTTGGATCTCAACATATTTCAAAGGATGAAATGATGAGAAAACTTTTATTGACTACATTTTCTCATCAAAAAAGAACTTCACAGTTCAAGCTTTAATCTGAGAAACTTATTAAGTGCAATGGATTAAAATTATAGGAAAGACGGAAAACTGATCAAGACACACAGATATATAGTACCTACAAAGGTACATTTATATATAATTAAAAATTATACACCTACTATTATTTGGTAAATTTTATGAACCTACAAACTTTAAATGTACATGCAGAGCTCTTTTGTTCTTCATAATTAAACATATGAACTTACCTAAATGATACATGTATGAAACAAATCACTACCATAAACAAGAGACATACTACCCTAATTCAGTGTCTGGGTTAATCAATGACATACACGTCTAGAGAATGAATATATATACAAACCTTCTAAACTTTCCAATACCAATAATAATCCATTTGTCGTCTTCACCACAGGCAGGCACAAGAAATTTCCAGTAGTCTAAATTCTCAGACACCCTTTCCTCTCTGTAAAGTCGACAAATTAAATCAACATAAACATGATCAAATTTCACATTGTACACATTTCTACAAGAATATCTTGTACAAAAGCATATAATTTAAGACTGTGCCAACAGGTTTTGCTTCATTTAATTTTGATACAAAGCAGCATTATGTAATTTTGTTTATATGTGAAATCAATCTTGATTTCAATCTCTAGCTAGCCACCATTTCTCTTTGTTTTATGACCCCAATCCTCTCTACTCTGTAATAAAAAATCCCAGACATCCATTGGAGACCCCTTTTCTCAGCTAGACACACTGGAAATGGCTCAGGATTTTGCATCATTTCCCTAATGTCTTTCAATTTTCATATGGCAGGAGACTTTGTCACATTCATTAAGTATCTGTCTTAGAATAACATACTGTTCTGCCACTAAAACTGATGAAGTAATCCATGTCACTTTCTTGAATTCCCTAAAGGATCTGAAGGGATAAAGATTACTTAGCTATCCTGTATGGTTTGTAAGGATAAGAATTACTTAGGGCTATCCTGTAGGATTGGCATGGATAAGAATTAGGGCTATCCTGCAGGATTGGTATGGATAAGAATTACTTAAGGCTTTCCTGCAGGATTGTATGGATAAGAATTACTTAAGGCTATCCTGTAGGATTGGTATGGATAAGAAATACTTATACTTATTCTGCAGGATCTGTAGGGATGAAGATTACTTAAGGTTATCCTGCACTATCAGCAGGGATATGCATTACTCAAGGCTATCCTGCAGGACCTGTAGGGATAAGGATTACTTTGATAAGGCTTTCCTGCAGGATCTTTAGGGATGGGGATTATTTCAGCTATCCTTCTGGATCTGTAGGGATAAGGATTACATAAGGTTATCCTTCAGGATCTATAGGGATAAGGATTACATAAGGTTATCCTTCTGGATCTGTAGGGATAAGGATTACATAAGATTATCCTTCTGGATCTGTAGGGATAATGATTACATAAGGCTATCTTTCAGGATCAGTAGGGATAAGGATTACATAAGGTTATCCTGCAGGATCTGAAGGAACAAGGAATATTTAAGGCTATCCCTCAGGATCTGTAGGGATATGGATTACTTAAAATCTGTTGAAACCCTATTATTTCTCCTGAAAGAACCTCTCCCAAACATCTGCCATTCAATATATCAACATAAGTAAGATGCTCTTAGCTAGCAATACTGCACTGATCATAATTATAGACCACAGGGTCCTTTGGCTACAACACTCACACGAGACATACCCTTACATATATTTTTCAGTTTGCAAAACAATATGTATTGCTCTTTAATAAAACATTAACTTAGATACTTTTTTAAAAGACAATATACTCTAATTATGTCAGCAACTTAATAATGCCATACTGGCTGCCACCTTAGTACATGTATATATATGTACATGTATCCCTAAAAACAAGTAACATGTATGTGCACTGACGTTTTTCTGGGCCAACTTATCAAATTTGTGGATTAAGTATGAAGCTGTTCTTAATAAGAAATTAAAAACTGCAGCTGAAGTTTGAAGGCCAAGAAGATCTTATTAGAATTTTGATTATTCCAGAAATGTCAAGTATTCAAGACCACAGACAACTTGCATAATGTTTAATGAAGATTTCTTTGTTTGGATTTGAGTTGCTCTGGAGAAAAAAAGAATTCAAATACAACTAACGTATCAAAATTAAGATAATCTAAAACTCTGCAAATTATCAATTGAAAATTGAAGTCCTACAAATTATTTACAGTCAGTAAAATATACATGCATTTTGCTCCATCAATTGTCTACTTACCGGTAATTTTTGCACATGTAAAATATTTTCACTGTAGATAAATCTAAA